TAAGAGTCCTGTGCAATTGTAAGTGCCAGACGTATTGTTACACTTGAGAAATCCAGCAAGTCTTGAGTCTTAAATTGGGAATCAGGAGGTGGATTTTTAAATACATACTTTAGAATGTCTGGTTCTGAGCAGCAGGAATCCAGCTGGTGAGTTAAGGTATTGGATGCAGCATTTCAGACGACAACGGAATTTGAAAGCAAAATAATTTATTAGATGGAAGACTCAGTGAAATCTACTGCGAAGGATTTTCCAAAGGAAGGGAAAAGGGAAGGGACCTCCCAGGTGGTTTAAAGTGCACCACTGTCTAGAAGGGTTGGAATGTTCTTGCCTCAGTGAATATTGTTAAATCAGTGTCACTCAAAGTCACTTCTACAGATATACAGAAGTTTAATACCAATACTCTGCAAATTAAAATCTTGTACAGAAAAACCTTCAAAGGTTTTTGCAAAAAAAGCCTTCTGCACTGCTCTGACACCATCCATGCTATATTGTACAATTTAGGTACATATCCAATGTACTACTAGTGCATTTCTCCAAGAGACAATACAAACAATTCCTATAAGAGTGAATCTACACAGTATGAATGGGTTTGTTGTTAAGAACATTCTGCTTCAGTAGAAGTGCCAATAAAAATGTTGAAATGAAAAATATAGATGTATTTTTCAGTTTGGGGTTTGGGTTTTGCTTTTTTTTTTCCTTCTTTCCCCAGGCTTTTTTTTTTTTTTTTTTAACAATACAGCTCTCCTTGAGGCAGGCTTCTATCACAGGAAAAACGAAATGAGTACATTTCACATTTGGTTAAATGTGTGTGCCAGCTGCTTCATTCAGCAGGTGGGTCACGATGGCTTTGGAGAAAAATAAGGCTCCCCTGAAAAAGCACAGGCTGAAAAAATGTTGGGAAAATGAGAAGGTGCAGGAGGCGATTATTATGTCGGAGAAATTAACATGGAATAAACTAGGGCGCAAACTGCCAGTGCATTACTTACTCTGCAGTAATTCTCTCCACGGGTGCTTTGGCTCACATTATCTGCATGTCCACACTGCGTTGATGGGGCACTCTGAATAAAGCCAGCCCAGGCAGCCCCACGGGCAGCACGGGGTGAGATGCAGGATGCTCTGGGGTGCTGCAGTGCCACACTGCCCCGGCCACCCTGTCACCAGCGCTGTCTGGAAGCCCCACCCAGCAGAGCCCAGCCTTGGAATCACTGCAAGGCAACCTATTACACTGGGTGAGTGCTGGTGATTCCAGCTCAGCCACAGTAAGGGAAAGCTCCCAGTCCTGAAAGCTCCTTTCCCACATTTTGTGGCTCTTTTCATAGGAGCCTGCCTGGATTCTGAGCTCTCCCATATGTGCAGCAAGGGGCATTTCTCTTCCTCTCAGCCAGATGCTGCATCTGTGCAGCAACTCCTGCTCCTGTGCCACACAGCCTGCAACGCAGAGGGTTCCTCAGGACACTTGACAGACATCCCTTCTCCAAACAAGCAGTGGCAGTGCACTCAGGCTGGAATTATGCATCAATTCTGCAAGTTCAGGCTCGCAGGAACAAATCCAGAACTACCACTATGTCAATTGGAAACCACCTGATTTGAATTAAAGCATCACTGGAGTCCAGCGCAAGAGGAGGAGAGAAAGGGGGAAAATACAGTGGGGAGGTGGAATCTGGACAAGTCACAAAGGGTGGATAGATGGATGCAAGGTGGTACTGCAACTGCTAGCCATGAAAATTATTTTTAGGTTTTTTTGTTGTTTTGCCTGGGTTGTTTTTTTTGTTTGTTTGGATTTTTTTTTTGTTGGGGGATGGGTGCGGTAGTTTTAGGGGGTTTTTTGTTGGTAAAGTCAAGGGGACAGCCTGAAAAAAAAGATTCTTTAGGTAAATTTTTTACCAAACAATTGGGCTGCTACATTCTCAGTCATGAATAATGGTGTCACCCATGCCAAGAAGTGAAGGAATTTAAGGAGAGGGTGAGATGTATAAAATAGATAAAATAGAAGGCATTTCACAATTTTTTTTTTTGTCCTCTGCATCATGGTTCACTGCCTTCATCAATTGTACTTGTGCAGCAGGTCTCTGAGGCTGACAAAGTGTGGCACATGTGAAGGGATGCTATGGGCAGCCAAGCACAGAAACTTCTTTGGCTCCCACCTGCTAAAGTCAGTGTGAGCTATGGAAGACCATATATCCTGCTGAATCTTTCAGCATTCAATCCTAAAAAAATAACCACAGCTTTAAGAAAGCATTTCTATTCTCTTACTGACCAAATGTTGGGGGATTTTCTGTTGTTATGGTAATAAGTATTTTATAGTATGCTTTAAAGTAAACAATGAAAGGTGACACTTTGTCACTATGTACCTATTATGTTTTGCAGGTTTCCCAATCTGCCCTCTGCCCTTCCCCCTCAAATATACATAAATTCTTAGGTTTTATTTACAGTTTAACAGTATTGGAATGCTTATGCTTGAAACACTGAATGAGAATATTCTGCCATCCAAGCCAAAACAAAACCCCTGCTTTCTCTTCTAAGATTTGCAAGTAATTTTTTATTGCATTTTACTCTGAAAATGTTCAATAACCTTCATTGGTTCTAACATTGGCTTAAATCTTGTTGACTTTGCTGTTTCCTCTGTGCCCATTGTTGCCTCCTTTCAAGCTGGATTCCATGGATTTCAATGGTGTTCTGCACAGTTCTGTTCTTGCAGATTTTCTCATGAAGTCCAAGCTCTTGCAGTAGTGTGCTTATAGTTCCATGTGGGAAAGTGTCATTATATAAAAATTCTGGTGTAAGAACCTGTCACAGTTGTGCCACCTTTATTCAACACGAATGAGCTCACAACTTACTTTCAGGTAGTTTGAGATTTTTTGCAACACAATCCAGTGAGTAAATTGTGCTTAATGCTTATAGATATGACATGGGGCAACCTACCTTGAAGAAGCTTTATCCCAGATAAGATGCAATGTAAGAACTCCCACAGGACAGCCCCCTTTAGGCCTTACATATGTTGAAAACATTAGGAATGAGGATGGCTTTGGAAAGAAGCTGGAAGTTCTGCAGGATCATGTGTTTGGACTTGCCATCTGCACGGCCCAGGAGTTACCACATGGATCACTTTCTCCCAGTCATCTGAACCGTGAGTCACACAAACCGAAAGTGGAAGGCGGCTGTGTGAACAAAGCAGATGTGGGTGTTTGTGGGGCTGCTCCTCACCTCCCCTTGTTTTCTGCCCTGCCCCATCCAGGGCTGCTACACTCAGACCTTTGGGAAGCCAGGGTGGCAGCCACCTTAGCCACCTCCTGGGATGGAGGCCGGGCTGTTCAAGGATGAAACCCCTCACGGGTGAGCCTCTGGAAGGCTCCATGACTCAAACTTCCAGCTGGAAGCCTGGCCATCTTTGTTTTGTTTAACCGAGCAGGAACACTCCACTAGCCGAGTGCTTACCACGACAATCACAAATGTCTGTCCCGAGCCCTGGATGTCTGAGGGGTGCCTGCGGCCCCGGACAGGCCGGCTCCCGGCCAAAAGCACATGCAGTGAAATAGTTTCCAAACCCCAAAAGCAAACCTGAAACTGGATCCGTACAGACAGGCTCCTGGTGCTCAGATAGCAAACCTTCTTCTCCGGGTCTGATTGCAAGCCCACGGCTACAGTGGGCTATCGGCTCATTTTTTTACCTCAGCCAAATCCGAAATGTGGGCTGAAGGAGGGGGCTTAAATAAATTTATTAAATAAAATTTTTAAAACTCCAAACAAACGAAAACCTTTACGAACATATATCCTAGCATATATAGATTAAAGTACCCTTCTGTGAACGTGCCTACAGCTCGCACGGCAGGCCCCTAGCACTGGAGCTCTGTGAGGGCTACAGCTCGACAGCAAACGGCGCGGGGACGCGGCGGCCGACCGGCCGCCATGCAGCGGCTACGCTACTTGCGCAGCCCCCGATGCCCTGCGCGGCGTCGCCAGCAGCCCCTGGCGTAGCAGCGTTCGTGAATACGGGTGCTGCACTGCGGCGACGGCGCGGCGCAACCAAACCTCCTCCCTCCACCGCCCACCCCGGCCCTGGCACCGCCCCCTTCCTCGGCTGTGATTGGCAGGACGGGTGGAGCGGTCGGCGGCGATTGGCGGGTGGCGGCGGGAGGTGGGGTAGGTTGCGTGAAGGGTGATAAAGTTAGTGGGGCTGCCGGGGAGCGCCCGAGACGCGGCGGCGGCGGTCGGCGCTCTATGGAGGTGGCGGGGGGAGGCGTCGGGTCGGTGCTGCTGCTCCTGCTGTGGTGACTCGGAGACTCGCCCTGTCCCGCGCGCTCCCCCCTTCCCCTCCCCAGCCCCGGTCCCCGGCTCCCTTCCCCTCCCCCCCCTTCTCTTGCCTTTTCCCCTGCCCTTGGTAGCCGCCGGGACCCGGGGAAGCTGACAAGGCCTTAGGGAAGGTGAGAAATGCGGGAGTGGCGGGAGAAGCGCGGATCTGGGGCCGGGAGTGAGCGGGTGCTGCTGCAGCTGCAGCCTAAAATGGCGGCTGCTCGGAGGGGCCGCCATTTTCTTGTCAGTTGCTTGTCTGTTTCTCCCGCACAAAATGGCGGCCCGGGCCGGCGGTCGCTGCCGGCTTTGCGGGCCCTGCCGCCGCTGAGCGAAGGGGTGGAGGAGCTCGGCAGCCCCTGCTGGGCGCCGAGGGGAGGCTGAGCGGCAGCGTTTCAGGTTAGAGCGAGGGAGACGGGATCGGGCAGTGCCCATCCGTACGGGCCATGCCTTTAGTGGGCTCGGCTGTAGGATGGTGCTCTGGCCGCGGTCTGCGGGCGCCCGCGCTGCCCCCCCAGTTTCCCTTGGAGGGAGAAGCCGCGGCACACAGCGGGCTGCGGTCTGAGGACCCACATTGCTGGGGGGAAGGTGACGAGAGGATTTTCAGATTTTTTTTTTTTTTAAATAGTGTTCATTAGCTTTTTTTTTTCACGCGAGCGGAGAGCGGGCTGCCGAAGCGCCTCGCCCATGTTTCCTGTCTGGGGGCTCGGGCGATGCCGCCTGCTTCCCCCTCGGTGTCTCCCGGGGCGGCTGCGGGGGAGCGGGGCCCGCCCGGCGCCCTGGCGGAGAACAAAGAGCCGGGCGGGCGCGGGCAGCGGGCGGCGCCCGCCGGGCGGGGCGGGGGCCGCCGCCGCCGCCATGTTGTCCCCGCTCCGCGTGCCCGGGCGGCCGCGCTCGGCTCCGGGAGGGCTCCGAGCGCATCCGGGACACTCCCGGCCTTCCCGCCCTCCCCCCGGCGTTCCTGGCCCCGTGCTCGCCGCTCCGCTGCGTGAGCGATGCAGTGGGGTTCTTAATGCAGGCTGAAAGTTGAGGTGGTGGGTGGACGATATCTTTTTTTCAATATTTGGTGCCATTTGGACGCAGAACACACGCCTTTTACTGCTTCAAGCGTGCGTTTTGTTGTCTGATGCTTTTCACTACAGAATTTGCTTTGTCGTGCCATTATAAATCATAGTTTCTGAATCACGTCAGTGAAAGACTCATTGTGCTGTTTAAAGTACTTGCGTTCTTTCCTGCCGCTACTCTTGGCTTTTGGATGGACTTGAGGGTTTTGCTCAGTCCATGATACCTTCTCTCTTTGCCCTCACCCCGCTGCAAAACATGGCTAGAATGATGAAATCGGCATTTCTGTGACTGTCCCAAGTGTTGCACGAATGAAAGTTTTCTTAATTTTTGTGAAGTTCAGTGTTGGAGGGTTCTCGTTGTCGAACAAACATTTGTACTTCTTAAAATTAGATGCTATTGCTGATAGTAAACAAGTATAATATGAATGCTTGGTTTGTCTTTCTAGGTTTTGTTTTTCCCTACCCCGTCAATTTAATTTTATTCTTTTGAAGATTCTTCGTTGTCAAGCCGCCAAAGTGGAGAGTGCGATTGCAGAAGGGGGTGCTTCTCGTTTCAGGTACCCTTTGTTTGTTTGATGAGTAGTTAGCAATGGAAAATCTCCTTGGAGGGCATCTTAAATTAGTGTAGTGTTTATACCACAACGGAGATGTTTGGACTTACCCAGGATTCCATGGTTGTTTTTAACAGTGCTTCTTCAGGCGGAGGAGGTGGTAGGGGTGCACCTCAGCACTATCCCAAGACTGCCAGCAACAGGTATGTCACCTTGCTCTTGGATTTCCATGATTTTAAAGTCAGAGCATGCTTGATAGTGAATATAGAACTGAAAATAGGTGAACTTTAAAGTTGTGCCAGAAGTATGTACTGAGTTAAAGACCTTTAAATGTTTTCCAGTCTGTGCCTCATGGTTGATAGGCAGTGCATGGGGTTGTTAAAGAGTTTAATTTTAAAAGTGTGGAGAGTAGTTTTGGGTGCCAGGCATTGTTGTTGTTGGGTACTTCCCTGTGCAGCAGATGTTGCAGCATTGGTAGGGCTAATTGTGTGCTCTTAACAAAGCAAGTAATGGAATTGGTTTGAGTAAGGCATCACTGAAAGGTTAAAAGTGCAGTTCCTTAAATCTCTTGTCTCTGTTTTAATAACCGCATTCTTCAAAATTTTGCAGCGAGTTCCTGGGGAAAACCCCAGGGCAAAACGCTCAGAAATGGATTCCTTCACGAAGCACTAGACGAGATGACGACTCCGCAAACGACAAAGAACGACATGATGCAATCTTCAGGAAAGTAAGAGGGTAAGTTCCTCACAAAGTTACTTCTTGCCTTACTGCTTCCATTAGCAGTGTGTACCTAAGTAATGGTCTGGAGGAAGGGAAGATGTGGGCCTTGAGTTTAAACGCTGAAAGTAATTCTTGCAAGCAGATTAGTGTTTTCAATGGTACTTCACAGTCTGAAGATACCAAAAAAAACCAGTTGAATGGAAAATTACACTTTTCAATTTTTAGTAGATGTCAAAAATAAAAAGTAAGCTGAGTCTAAAGTGTCTGTTAGCATGCTTACAGTATCTGTGTATTCTGATTTTGGTTTTTGTTCTTCTTTAGCATACTAAATAAGCTTACTCCTGAAAAGTTTGACAAGCTATGCCTTGAGCTCCTCAATGTGGGTGTAGAATCTAAGCTCATCCTAAAAGGGGTCATACTGCTGGTAAGTTGGTTGCATTTCTTTTAACTACAGCTGTCTTGCATACTGAAAAGCATGGGGTGGGGTTGTTGCTTTTGATGGGATACAGAAGTAGCATGAAAAATGCTTTTGTGTATTTCGATTATCAAACACCATGTCCCACCTGTGCTTTCTGTTGAAAAAGGATCTTCTAGGGAGGAAGTAGATTTAATGGTTTGAGTTTCTAATTTAGAAGTCTCCATAATGACTAAACGTGATTTTGGAGTTCTGTTATTATTTTTTAAAATAATCTAAGGTGTGAGTTAGCCATCTTACTTGCTTGGCCTCCCCTTCTTCCTCTTCTTCTGAGGAGCAAGCCTCTTGGTTTTGGAAAGGCTACCACTGGTGACCTCTGGGGACACTGATGCAACTGTTACATCCCTTTCTTTAAACGAGATCATATGGGTGATGCTAACATAGGTGTTGGTATAATAAACTTGAGTTTTAGTGGCCTTTTCAGTAGCAAGCAGTGGCTTTTGTCCTTTGCTTCAGCATTGAGATGGTGTTGGACTGCACTTCGTGTTTGATTAAGCAGAAAACAGGATGTTCTAGATGAGAGTGGCAGTAATCCATTCTGTGTTTTGTAACTCACTTTGCTAATAACATTTGCACCCTCCTGCTGCTTGCTGCCTCACTCAACCTGGCTCTCTCTAGATCGTAGACAAAGCCCTTGAAGAGCCCAAGTATAGCTCGCTGTACGCTCAACTATGTCTGCGACTGGCAGAAGATGCACCCAACTTTGATGGCCCATCAGCAGAGAGTCATCCAGGACAGAAGCAAAGCACAGTGAGTGCATCTCTCAATCTGGAATGGTAAATTTTGCATGCATTTGTAGCCTCCCTGATCAGCTTAATTGTTTTCTTTGTTCTCTTTTTGTAGACATTCAGACGCCTCCTAATATCTAAACTTCAAGATGAATTTGAAAACCGAACCAGAAATGTTGATAGTAAGTTTTAAAACCACTTTAATACAGAATCTATTTGTCATCTTTTCCCACAGCCATGTAAAACAGGCTTCTTTGTTTTCCAGTCTATGATAAGCATGATGGTCCCCTCCTCCCTGAGGAGGAGGAACAGAGAGCCATTGCCAAGATCAAGATGCTGGGGAACATCAAATTCATTGGAGAACTTGGCAAGCTTGATCTTATTCATGAATCTATCCTTCATAAGTGCATCAAAACAGTGAGTATTCATATTGGGAAGAAGCTAGGAGCTAAATAGAACTTAAAAACAAAACAAAAACCCATGCAAATATTGATACTGCTTTGAGAGTCTAGGAGCAGGAGCATAAAATGACACAAAAATGTGTCCTGATGATTACCCATCCCCTACTGTTACCTTTTGGCATTATTTAGAAGTAAAATCAGCTTTGTTCAAAGCCATAGGAATTGTCTCCAAGGGAGAATCTAGTTATGCCCAGACATAAGTGTGCTGTAGGTGCTTCAAACTACACACACTTAAGAATTGGCAGTTCTTAAAATTAAGTGCATTTGCCTTCAGAACAAAGCAAATGTTTTTGTATGTGTCAGTGTACAAAGTTTGTTACTTACTACAAGTTGTCATTTACAAAACTTTTAAATCCTAAATTTCACCTTTAATTTTTCAGCTTTTGGAAAAGAAGAAGAGAGTTCAACTCAAAGATATGGGGGAGGATTTGGAGTGCCTCTGTCAGATAATGAGGACAGTGGGACCTAGATTAGATCATGCGAAAGCCAAGGTATGTGCCTAGCTAGTGCAGTCATTAACCTAATTAAATTATGTGGCTAAGACTTGTGATTGCCTGAACCGTCTGTATTTAGTATTCATAAGTACAAAACAGAGGTTTTGTGGTTTTTTTTTCTTTCAGATAAGAGTGCCAACTATGGCTTCTAGACCAATTCCCTTGATAGAAAAAGCCAATCTTTGAAACAGTTTTAAACATCTCACCAGGATGTAGTTAGGGTCATCAGGAAATCACATAAGTGAGACTATTGTTTTTCTAAACATTGCTTGAAAAAATGTGCTGAGGAACTATTCATAGCACAGCTAGGTGATTGGAGAGATAGGAGTTTGGAATGTAAGCTTAAAATGACCAGAATTTTGGCTGTGTTGCGTATCTGATTCAGGTGTCTTGATACATTAGGTCTTCAAACTCTGTCATCAAGGAGCTAGAGATGGCAGGAAAGGGCACCTTGTTGCATTATTTTGTCTTGAATGTCTTGAGTGAAAACACTCAAGGCACTGATAAGAGTTCTCCTAACTTGTCACTTTTGTTCCCTAGTCCTTAATGGATCAGTACTTTGCCCGTATGCGCTCCTTGATGTCAAGTAAGGAATTGCCAGCAAGGATTCGTTTCCTGCTGCAGGTATGATGATTAGATGGCTCCCTGCTGCTTTTTTTCTTGAAAATGGTCTTGAATTCTTTTCTAATATCCTGTTCTGTTCCAAGGATACTGTGGAGTTGAGAGAACACAACTGGGTTCCTCGCAAAGCTTTTCTTGACAATGGACCAAAGACTATCAATCAAATCCGTCAAGATGCAGTAAAAGTGAGTGTTGCCTGTAAGGTCCAGAGCCTGCATTGGTGCTGTGCACTTGGAGTAGTTCTCACACAGTGTCACAGTTGGCTTAAGGGTTAAAACCCGATGGACTTCTGTAGTTGAGGGCTAAGAACTTTGCTTTCTTGGGACTGCTACTTGAAACTGACCAAAATTGTAATTCCTGTTTTAAAGGATCTGGGAGTTTTTATTCCTGCTCCTATGTCTCAAGGGATGCGAAGCGACTTCTTTCTGGAGGGACCCTTCATGCCACCCAGGATGAAACTTGACAGGGACCCACTCGGAGGGCTTGCTGATATGTTTGGACAAATGCCAGGTATGCTGACACTGCAGGGGTTGTGGCGTGGCTGTGGCTCTGCTGTGCTGAATAAGAACTAAAACTGTCATTTGTCTCCTTGCTGGTCCAGGTAGCGGAATTGGTACTGGTCCAGGGGTTATTCAGGATAGATTCTCACCCACCATGGGACGCCATCGTTCAAACCAACTCTTCAATGGCCATGGGGGTCACCTCATGCCTTCTGCTCAATCCCAGTTTGGAGACCTAGGCAAATCTTTTCTGAAAAGTCAGGTAAGGAAGCTGTTTGCATGGTGACTTCAGCTTGTTTAGAAGCACTTCCTGAGATGCGTATGTTATGGATTAAAGTCTGCTTATGTTGAAAGACCTATTCAGATTTGATTCTGATAACTGATGCTCAGCTGATACAAAAATTCTAAACCACTTTTTAAATAGCACAAAAGATGCAAGTACACTTTTTTTTTTTTTAACTGCAAGAAAAGGTGCATGTGGCTTTGGTGGGTCAGAACGGTGTGTTTCATTAAAAGATGGCCCTGTTTTTAGGGATAGATGCTACTCCCACCACCCCTGCTCCTTCTTTCTCCCTTCCTGGCGAATAGGATCTTTGTTCCTCTGGTCCCTCTGGTACTACTTACCAAATGATGTACGCCACTCCATCATCTGCACTTCTTTCTCTATATCTCCCTTTCTGAAATAGGGGCAAAGCCAACTCTACCATACCCAGAATCAGGGACTCTTATCCCAGCAACAAGGACAGTCGAAGGATATGCCACCTCGGTTTTCTAAGAAAGGACAGCTTAATGCAGATGAGGTACATGACATGCCTACATTATTTACAGCCTATGCTAATATTGCCCAATGATTATAGCAAGACGCGTTATTATGAGGACTAATGCTGGAACTCTTTCTCCTCCTCCTCATTCTCCTCCTTCTTTGTCCCTTCCTCTTTCACCTTTTACCCCCCCCTCACTTTCCTTAGGGTATCCAGCGTCCTATGAGCAAGACTGAGATATGAGGGCAATTTTTTGGGGTGTCCTTTCCTTCCCACACACTTCCAAGAACACTACTCTGACATCAGTTCCCATGCATCCTATTGATAACAAAACTTTTCATTAAAACTTCAGAAAATCCTGAACTTTAGAAACCCTGAAGTGCTGGACCAGGTTAATTTTTTTTTTGTTTTCTTTTGTTTAGAACTGGCTAATAGGCAAAATTTCAAATGCAGAGTAAACTGCATTGTGATTTTGAGTGTTAACCAGACTTGTATCCCGATTTCTGAGCAATTTGGTAGTTTCATTTTGGCTGTAAAATACATCAGCAAGCATGCTGATTATCTTCTTGGGTCTCTAACATACTGCATCTAAAAGGAGCATTTCCAGGTTTTTATACTAGTTGAACTAAATGCCAGTGACTTGATTTTGGGGGGAGTTTCAGAACACATGTGGCTTAATTTGTATTTGAGTATCAGTATTGTAGAAATGGAGTCATGCTTCAGTGAGATCAGTTGGAGTGAGTCCATGGCTGTGTATTGTTGGTCAGAATATTTGAAACAGTTTGAGTTTTTCTTTGACTTTACTGTTTACAGATTAGCCTGAGACCTGCTCAGTCTTTCCTGATGAATAAAAACCAAGTGCCAAAGCTTCAGCCCCAGATAACGATGATTCCTCCCAGTGCTCAACCACCACGCACTCAGACACCGCCTTTGGGACAGGTAAATACAAAAATTCCTGTATGTTGTTGGCTATACTTTCTTGTTTGTGCTTGAAAAACTTAATTTCAAATGTGTGAAGGGAGAAAGATGTCTTTGATTGCACAGAGCAGGACTTGGGAAAAGAATGTTTGAAACCAAACTAATTTGAGTTCCATCTGCTCTTTTTATGTTTTCTATTGTAAAACTTTATAAAAGCAAAAGTAGATGTGCTACAAAGAAACAAATTCTGGTCTCTTTCAGCCGCCTCAACTTGGTCTTAAAACAAATCCACCACTTATACAAGAGAAGCCTGCAAAGACCACCAAGAAACCACCTCCTTCTAAGGAAGAGCTACTTAAACAAACTGTAAGTTAGTGTGCAGTAGTGAGTGTTACAGCTTTGGACGTGACCTTCAAAAAGGATGCTTACCTGTGCTTCTTTCCTCTCCAGGAGGCTGTTGTGACTGAATATCTGAACAATGGAAATGCTAATGATGCTGTCAATACTGTAAGAGAAATGAGAGCTCCAAAACACTTCATTCCTGAGATGCTGAGCAAAGTAATCCTTCAATCCCTAGATAGATCAGATGAGGACAAAGAGAAAGCAAGTACTTTGATCAGCTTGCTCAAGCAGGAGGGAATAGCCACCAGTGACAACTTCATGCAGGTATTGTGGTCTGATAATCTTGCAGTTCTTGTTTCTTGGCTCTTCATGGTGTTTAGCTGCTGTAAAGGCAGCATGCAAATATTTTTTTAGTCCTGCTAATCTGAGGAGGTAAAAATAGTACATGAACCTGTGAGGGGCACAAGTGAAAGGAAGACATGCAGTATTTCAGCAGTTGGAACCTGGGATCCTCTTTGCAAAGTATGATGTTGCACAGGAACAGAATTACTTAGGAATTGAATCTTGTGTATTTACTGTTTCTTAGGCATTCCTGAATGTATTGGACCAGTGCCCCAAACTGGAGGTGGACATCCCATTGGTGAAATCCTACTTAGCACAGTTTGCAGCCCGTGCCATTATTTCGGACCTGGTGAGCATTTCCGAACTGGCTCAACCACTGGAAAGTGGCACCCATTTCCCTCTCTTCCTGCTCTGTCTTCAGCAGTTAGCTAAGTTACAAGACCGTGAATGGCTAACAGAATTGTTCCAACAAAGCAAAGTGAATATGCAGAAAATGTTACCAGGTAAGATTTGCCACAGAGTTCTTCTGTTACCTGATCCTAGAGTAAGCGAGATGTTGTTTAGTTTATGCCAGAGTAAAATAACATGCAGGGTTCTCTTGGTGGAATTAGCTGTCAGTATTGTTCGGAATGATGTTTTTTAAGGGGTGGCTGGAGCATGAACCATTACTTAGAGCTCTTGAGAAGCACTTAACACGTGTCTTTGTTTCCTTGTCAGAAATTGACCAGAACAAGGACCGCATGCTGGAGATCTTGGAAGGGAAGGGGCTTAGCTTCTTGTTCCCGCTTCTGAAACTGGAGAAGGAACTGCTAAAGCAAATAAAATCGGATCCATCCCCTCAAGCCATCTATAAGTGGATTAAAGATAACATTTCACCCAAGCTTCATGTAGATAAGGGATTTGTGAATATATTGATGACCAGGTAGGATGCTCTTTGGATATATTTTAGGTACCTGTTTGGTTAAGCTACCAGTGTGGCGCTCAAATGTAGCTCTGCAGAAATCCAAGATGCAGTACATGGGGAGACTGATTGTTCTGAGTGAACAGTCTCTAGTAAAATCCCATTGTACTTGAGAAAAGCAAGTCTGCAGGCTTGCATCAGTGTGTGAAGCGTTTTCTTTGGGAGGAAGTCTAGATCCATGTGTCTTTCTAAAATGTAGAGCTGTAACAAAGGCAGAAGAAGGATTTTGCTGGCGCGCCATCAACCACAGTACAAGTCCCTCTGCTTGCTCCTTACTGCAAGTGAAAGCAGGATGATAGTTGCAGTGACAGCTGTCTTAACTTGATAGTCAAGTGCTTTGATCTTACTTCACAGAACTTAGTTTGGCTTTTCTTCTGTCCAGTTTCTTGCAGTATATTTCTAGTGAAGTAAACCCACCCAGCGACGAATCGGATTCTTCATCTGCTCCATCTAAAGAGCAGCTCGAGCAGGAAAAACAGCTGCTTCTTTCCTTCAAGCCGGTGATGCAGAAGTTCCTCCATGACCATGTTGATCTGCAAGTGAGTGCTTTATATGCACTCCAGGTGCACTGCTACAACAATAATTTTCCAAAAGGTAAGTGCATTGAGGTCTCACCTGAATTGGCTTGTCCCTACATTTCTTAAAATTCAGCAAGTGGTTGAGAAGGTTATAAAGCTAACCAAGTTTAAACTGATTTTCATAGGCATGTTACTGCGCTTCTTTGTTCATTTCTATGACATGGAGATCATTGAAGAAGAAGCCTTCTTGGCATGGAAAGAAGACATTACTCAAGAGTTTCCAGGGAAAGGCAAAGCTTTATTCCAGGTAAGTCTGCTAACATTAGAATAGAGACTTGTTTTTTGTTATTTCTGCTGCACTGGAGTGTTTGAGAACTTTTGAAGTGTCTGAAACCTGTAAATATCTGGAAACTTCATGGCATATTTCACTCCTGTAGGAAGGAGTTAAAAGCAAGATGACTTAAATCTCTCCTATTTTCTGGAGGCCTGTGTGTAGTGCAAATGAGGCTGAAATGAAAGGTTTTTTTTTAAAATGAGTTGGGGGGGGAAGATGAATGTTGTGTGGATGTACCTAATGGGGAAACAATGCCTGCTCCCTTAAACCAGTTTTGTGTAACTGCAGGTAAACCAGTGGTTAACCTGGCTGGAAACTGCTGAAGAAGAAGAATCTGAAGAAGAAGCTGACTAAAGAACCAGCCAAAGCCTTAAATTGTGCAAACATACTGTTGCTATGATGTAACTGCATTTGACCTAACCACTGCGAAAATTCATTCCTCTGTAATGTTTCACAATATTTAAAGCAGAAGTATGTCAGTAGGATATTCTCTGCAAAAGGTTTTTGTAGTATGTCTTAATAGTCTACAATAAAAATATTTTAGAGTATCTTCAGTGTTTAGATAACAGTGTATTAGCAGCATGCAATAATTACATCATAAGTTCTCGAGCAGAAGCAGTCTGTTGCAAGGGTCTTCTTTGCTGCCAGTTATCATAGGCTGTTTTTAAGTTAGAAACTGAATAGCAACACTGAATACTGTAGAAATGCACTTTGCTCAGTGTAATACTTGAGTTGTTGCAATATTTGATTATCCATTTGGTTGTTACAGAGAATCCTTAACTGTAATCGATGGTTGTTGCCGTAATAGTATATTTGCCTGTATTTCTACCTCTAGTAATGGGCTTCATGTGCTAGGTTTTAATATCCTTGAGCCTGGGCAAGTGCACAAGTCTTTTTAAAAGGAACAGTTTACTTGCACAAAAACTGATAGGCTGAAGAGATGGTTTAATGCCCTTTTGGAAGAGGTTTTTGTGGGTGTGAAACATGACATGGTGAGAAATTTGAATTGGTCCTTCTTACAGTACTGAAATTAAGTCTATTAATTTATCAAGACATGTTCATGCCCTGATTTTATATACTTGTATCTATCAATAATAAACATTGTGATACTTGACTTGTTTCTGAATGTCTCCCAGTAGAAAAGCTTTGGCTGATGACTTGTTCACTTAAGAAAGGAACCATCAGTGGGAGTTGCCTTAGGTTGCAACCATCCTAAAATTACTTTTACACTCCTTGTCTGGATATGCAGATGAATTCTAAATAAGGTCACAGACAAGATGAGACACTACAGTTGTGTTGTGACAGGAGGAGAATGATGGGATTCTGTTGAAGAAATGGTAGGGGTTTGCCTTGTGGTCCAATGTATGCTTTATCAGTGAGTATGTGCTTTTGACTTGGTTAATGCTTTGAGCTTCCCCCCAGGCCACATGCATGTTTCTGAATCACGTGGCACTGTCTGTTAGCTGCCTGTTTCTCAAATTAAATTGGCAAAAAAAAAAATTCCTACAAAAGAGTTGAATGATGTTGCATTGTACAGGCTTGAAATGTCATCTATTAAATACTCAAAACACCTTACTTCCTAGAACCTTGTCCCCAGTGAGTTTTTTTTTGTCCTTATTGATACTCCAGACTTAACCTGTTGAAAAGTGATGTATTTGCAGTGGCAAAAGCATAGTGGCTCCTGGACTGGAGCTTTGTTTGCCAGTGGTGTGAGTGCTGTAGCCTGTAAGCTGTTAAGCATCACAGGAGGTGAAGAAGTGGAGCCCAAGAAAAGGACTAGAGCTGATAACTAGGTTTGCTCTGAGGAAAGAGGGGAGTTGGAATTGGCAGTGGAGCACCTTGTAACAGTACAGCTGGAAAAGCATGTCATGGTTTGCTTTGAAGGGTTCCCTAACTCCATTCACAGCTCTGTTCTCCTGAGTGTGAGCTGTGCTGTCGGGGAGTTCTGCTACTGCCTTGGGAGCTTCTGTGCAGCGTGGAGCCCAGCAAAGCCAGGGACTGCTCTACAAGCCAAGTGACAGCAAGGCTATTGAACTTGAATTGCTGTCAGAATTCCATGGCACCATCCCTCATGTCAGAAATGGGGTGTATTCAGCAGTTAAGGGAGAGCAGGGGATACTGCTGTGGGTGGGGTCCAGTTAAGATAGGAATGCTTCAAGTGCAGCTCAGTGGCTCGAGGTTGAGAGCTGGCTGTGGGTGAGGGAGCTGCACCTCCTGGGGGACAGTGGTGAGCACTGACATGGGCCTTCCCAGAACACTTAATGGTATGTTCCTCTGAAACTCATGACTCTCCCCTCTCTGTGGAGTGACTTGGTCACTGCTAGAACGAGTGGTGCAGACTTCCCTCCTCACTGCATGTTCAGGCTCGGGTGCATGTGTGCTACAGGCACTAAGGTTCTGCAGTTCAGTACTCATTTAACAGGATGGACAAATACAAGTACAGCTACAGGGTTCATTTAGTCCTAATTAGTTCAAAATTCCATTCCAAAATTGCATTTTTAAGTGTAACAGGGTGCTGTGAAGTGAAATTTACCATTGTTTCACTAACAGTGTTGTGTTTTTCCAAGTTTGTCTGTTTCTCATTGAACTTGGTTGTTACTGCTGGTTGGTTTAGTGGTGTATGGTGCTATAATACTTCCTGTGGAGATGGTAATCTGTGTGTGAAGCATGTGATGCACTTTGCTCCTGTGCACTGCAGAGGGAAGATGGGGAGGAACCACAAGGCAGGAAAGAGTGGTTTCCAACTCAAGTTATATCAGAGTTGAGAAGGTAGAAGGATGTGCAAGTAAAAACGTGGGAACAGATCCCAAATCTGCAGCTGAGCTTTTCTGCCACACTTTGGAGAAGGCTGAGCTGGCAGCTGTGGGCTCCTTAACACAGTAACTAATACAAGCCTTGTGTTCTTGCCCAGTCTGACATGTCCTTACTGCAGCCCTATGTACCTGTGCATGGAGGCTTTGCTGCTTGGTTTCTTTCTAACTGACCACTGAGTTAGGAACTCTGGTAGAGAAAACTACAGAAAGAACAACTAAAAATGCAGAATAGAACATAAACAGTAGAAAATGCCACAAAAAGGTGGAATTACCATCACATGACTTGGAAAATCCTCATGCAGTGTGAACAGTTGTGGGTTCTTCAAACTGATGTAAAAATGGTGCTTTCTGCAGTGTGCACATCAAAGTGGTCTCTCCATAGATGAGGAGAGGTGGTAGCATCTTCATGATCTTTACTGCTGCTGAAGTTTTTAAGTGCTCAAGTGCAAAACTTGTGGCTAATCTGGAACAGGGATGGCTGTTGGTTGGTTTCACTTCTGTGTTCCTGTTGACTATGAGTGGCATTGTACATAAAATGTAAACAGAGTGCTTAATTCTACATAGTAAAGTCACAGTCAAAATTAAACCACTGTAACCGATAAATCATGATGGCTTTTATTAATATTTTTGTTAAGGGTTGGGTATAGTTATACTGCCAGGAGCATTGGGAGAAACTGCATATCACACATATTTCCTACCAGTTAATAGCAACTCAGTTAATTCTCTGAAATTCTGAATTAGGTTGCAGTTCCTATTCAGGAACCCTCACCCTGTCAGGTGTGGGTCGGATTTTGGGAAGGACCTGTCATGGTGAATTCTCACCTGCTCCTAGAGAGTGTCACAGCTGGACAGCTGCTGCCTTGTCACTGATCATAGCAGTAGGCCACCATCTGTCCAAGCTGCAGTGGTGTTTAGGTATGAAATCTGAGAATTCCAGGAATGTGTTCTAATCATTGAATCCTGGAAAATCATCTAGTTCCAGCTCCACTGTGATGTGCAGGGACACCTCCCAAAGAGACCAGCTTGCTCAAAGTTTTTTTAAGCCTGGCCTTAAACAGTTACAGGGATGGGGTAGCCACAGGTTTTTGGACAGCTTGTTCAGTGTCCACCCCCTTCATAGTAAAGAATGTCTTCCTTTTATCTCACCTGAACTCTGTTTGAAGCCATTCCCCCTCATCCTGTCAATACCTGCCCTTGTCAGAAGTCTCTCTCCAGCTCTCTTGTAGAAGAACCTTTCACAGGCTCAACAACCCCAGCTTCAGCCCCTCCCCCTGGGAGGGGTGTTCCAAATCACCTCATCAGGTCCTAAAAGTCAAAACACCTTCATGACTTCTATGCAGTTCTGTTTCTTGGGGAACAGTGCAGGAAGAAGCCTTATGGTGTGTGGGAGAAGGTAGAGGCTGTGTCCAGAACAAAATTTTTTAAGAGTGGCTTATCTGGCCTGCTCTTTTAGCAGATGGAGGCTTTCCTCTGAATGCTGTTGGACTTGGAGTGCTTTTCCCCTTTTTCCCCAGAGCAGTGTGTAAATCCAAACAATTGGATCATTTCAGTGCACTCCTGAACTGTACAAATTTAGAACACATCTGAACCATGAATTATCATGGCTCATGTTGCAACCCAGGCAAGCAGCTGCAGAGACTGCTTAAAAGAGTCTCTTGCTAATTCATGCTTATTCTCAAAAGTGAATTCCCAGGGAGCTGGTACAGCAGCATGAAGGGTGATGGGCTTGTGCTCACAGGTACCTGAGAAACTCCCATTTATCAACTGTGGTTCCTGCAGTGTTTGCTTCAAATGCTGCTCAGCTCCAGCCTTGTCCTGGTGTGGGGGGTGTGCAGGGACTTGGGCACCACTGATGTCACAAGGATTCCCTAAATCTGGGAGGAGATCCATATTTGGAAGCTGATAAATAGCCCTGGTGCATCTCCTACATCAAATAACTTGAATGGATATGAGAAGGGACAAGAGTGTGAGTCTAGTGGCAGAATGGGTCAAAGTGTCACACAAAGGTGAGGCTTTTTCCCTTACCTCACATAAATCTCCTGTAAATTGATCACTGCTCCTCTTTTATCTCCAATGCTGTTGGCCAGAGAACCAGAGCACACAGCAAGTGCTCTTGCCCAGCAGGAGAGCTCAGTTCAGGGGGCAGGATCCTGTAGGCACAGCTCGAGCATGGGACAATTGCACCTCCACACATTGCATCTGGGAAAGCAAAACAGAAACAGCAGCTGGGCTGGGAGCTGTGCTCTGTGACAGGAAAGGGAAGAGCTCACAGCTACAGTTGCAGGCATCAGGGTGTAACAGTAATTTAAAGAAGACTGTATCAACATAGCTTTGAGGTTTTTTTATGCCAGGGTGGTTCTACACACAAGATATACCCCAAAAAAGTTTGTCAGTCCTTCAGAAGTAGCTGTATTTGTTATTCAGCAAGATACAAGCTGGTAACACTATCTCCCTGGATCCACCCCTATCCTGGCATTTCAGAATAAGCTTCACTTCTGAAAGACCAAGAATTCTCTCAAACAGGTTCAGGCCTTTCCCTCTGATGGTCAGGGTCTAAGACTCTTCAGGCAGGAGTTCCTTGAATAATGTGCCTTTTAAGTGGTGCTGTAAAGGCACACAGGCTTGTCTGGGTTTGATTTAGGGAGCCCACATCCCTTTCCTTTAAGGGAGGGGAGTTGGAGAGGAGTGAACTGTTATTTTTAATGAGTTGACGAAGCAGCCATGGCAACAGTTACACTTGGCATGGATACATGGCTGGAGTGAGGAAAGCAGCCAGCTGAGGGGATTTTTATCTTCAAATATTTTGCAGTTTAGAACAACGTCAATCTTGCATTTAGTTTTTGTTTATGTTAGCAGTAGAAGTGCTTGAAGGATCTGAGGTGTGAAGCATTCCCAGAATTTTATTATCTAAGAAGCTGTGTAAAACCACTTTGTGAAAAGAAAAGGGATCTTTAACTGGTTTGATAGTGGGGAGGAGTTTATTGAGTTTGTTCTCTCAGAAAATGGATGCGTCTCTTTTTGGTAGGAAGGGTGAAATTTGAGAAGTGGAAGTACATAGAGTTAAAACTGAAAGACAGGTGAAGGCTTGATGTGCCTTTCTTTAGGGATTTTGTTTAACCCTTTAAGAAATGACTGCATGTTCTTTGAGATTTCAGAGACAGCTCCCTCCACAGCAGAGCAACAAACAAGGCTCCAGGCACATGCAGCAGGCCAGCTTTGTGTTCCTGCCCAGAGGCATAAAGCAGGGGAAGAATTAAAGCCTGGGGTTTTTCTATTTGTACTGATATACACTCATACATATTATGTATATCCCCATTTATCTTTATTCCTTTTATTCCTCTTGGAGAAATGCCATTCAGTTACCTGATTATTTTAAGCTTAGGTTGTTGATATTTCTGAGTAACAGTAGAAGCATTAGTCCTAATCCCTCTTCCCAATATTGACAACAAAACAGGAATTGGCCTTGGCTTCAGCTGCCATGTTAACCTTAAACAGCCCCGTGAGCAGAGCTCAGAAAGGCAGGGCTCACTCAGTTCCACACAAAGAACATTTTTAAAATCAAGAGAGCCCCAGCCAGGCTGTGGGGAAGAGGCCCAGCACGACACAGCCATGAGAGGCAGGGTAGGTGCACTGCACTGCTTTTAGGCTGTACATAACTGATTACTCACTTCATCAGCACAGCAGCTTCATTTCCTGCTCCAGTGAAGGTTTCCATGGTGACCTCCAATTTCCCACAGTTTCCCATCTATAGGATTGATGTAATTTAATTGGCAAGACCATGAAGTATTTAGCTGTGATGAAAGGCCCTTCATAAATTCAATTAGATAAATATGTCAGTAGATTTACCATGCAGGTAGGGACCACAGTGCAGTAAAACCCCAGCACATACCTGCCACAGGTGAGACCTGGCAGTGGGAGTGCACTGACTCTGGCAGTCCAGGGGCTGGAATGGCTCTGATAAAACACATCAGTTATAAATACAGAATGTGCTATTCTATCCTGGTGGAATTCTTGCCAGTGCAAATTCCATAATAATTTTCATGAAGGACTGAAGTGCAACTCAGTTCAGGAATCATTTAATATTTTACATAAGCTCCTCAAAGACTCTACACAATTTAATTTGTAAGGGGAAATGTCATTCACTCAAACTCTTCTTTCCCCTCTAGCTTTAGGAACAGGCTGCTCCTTGGATTGAACAATATAAATCCAGGTAATCCTGTTACTTCTGACACCACATGAGCTTTGGGTTTCATCCTTGAATAAGGACCATAAAAAGACACTATAGATTGAGTTGAATCCTGGTACTACACCTGTTACCTGTACAGTAAGACACAGAACCAACAGCTAAATTAGATACTAGAGCCTGGAAAGATGGGAATGGGCTTCCTGCCTGGCTCAGGCTGAGAGCTCTGGATCCCAGCCTGTGCACCACAGAGGAAGAGTGTCCCTGCACTGCAACACCACAAACACTGTGCAGTCTCTGTGTACTCACCCCAGCACCTCCAGGAGCTCCCAATTCCCAGATGCAGTTTGCCAGGTACTTTCACAGCTCCACAAGAAGTAATCCTTAGTTTGCCTGACAATCTGAAAAAAGCTTGCTGTTGGCATTTGCTGAAATGGCAGACATAAAGCACAATTTGGGCAGAAAACCTCCTAAATGTAACAAAAAAAAACAAAAAAACACCAAAACCCAAAACTCATAAAAGCACAACTAAGCAGGGAGCTGACAGATGGATGCCAGCTGTATTTATGCTTGTTCTGGAAATCTCTCTGTCAGTTCCTCAGTGTGATAAAGGTTCATGTAAACTTGATCCTACTGGATTGGTCTAGGGAGGAAAGAGAGGGGAAGATTACATCTAAATTGGAAACTAATTCAAGTGAATAACAAAGGAAACATCTGAGCTCCTGCTGGGTGGGATTCCTCTTACTTAACTATCCAAATGCTGGCTGTCTAGACATCCACACGCTCCTGGGGCAGCAGACAGGAACAGGTTCCTCAGAGTGACTCATTCCTCCTACCTTACACAATTACCCTGGGATGGGATGATTTTCCCCCTGGGGATGCCAGGCCATGGATGTCTCTCTACAAGGTGTCTAGACTGCTAATTTTTAGATGTCTGAAGATAAATAAAATTCACTTAAATTACCTGGCCCTATAACACTGCAATAAAATGTGCCATTGTTACTAGAGGAAAATTTAAGAATGTGATTGATCCAGCCCTTTTTTTTTTTTTCTTCTAATGACAGTATGGGATTGATGCAATTTGGGAATCAACATAGTAATTTTCTCTACGCAGCCCTTAGAGCAACCCATTTAATTAGAATTGCAAATTTAGATATATAACCTGTAGGATCAGGTGCAGGATATACATACAGCTCTATGGGAAAAAACAAATCCAGCAAAATAAATAAATCTTGGCCATAATGTTTCTCAAGGTCTCTGAATTTTATTATTTTTTGATACTGCCTTTTAAATGCTCATTTTATCAAATTGGTAATAATTATTTACAGAATTATTGTGTCTTTTTGTTTTTTCCTTCTCGATTTTCTGCTTCTGGAGACTTCAGGAGTTTCTCTAAAATACTGGATTTCTGCACCTCTAA